GGAGAGATGGATGGATGAGGGGTGGTGGGTGGATAGACAGGAGGACGATGGGCTAGATGGGGTGTAAGCCGCCAGTGTCAGCGGATGAGTATGGGGGAAAGCCTAGCCCTGCCTCTTGTTCATGGTGTGAGTGAATAAGTCCTTTTCTTTGGGGCCTCATCTGTGGTGAGAATCATGGGCTCAGCCTGCCTCCCAGGTTTGCTTTTGAGATCAAATGAAATAAGAATGGACTGGTCGGGGCTGAGGATGTGGCTCAAGCGGTAGCACGCTCGCCTGGCATGCGTGCGGCCCGGGTTCGATCCTCAGCACCACATACCAACAAAGATGTTGTGTCTGCTGATAACTAAAAAATAAATATTAAAATTCTCTCTCTCTCTCTCTCTAAAAAAAAAAAAAGAAGAAGAATGGACTGGTCTTGCCAGACAGGCCTCAGCCACTGGCCTCTTGAGTTCCATGCTGCGTTTTGTGTTTGGGGACACAGGTGAGAGGCCTGCCTCTACTCCTGGGCCCCCCTCTTTGCAAGCCTGCACACAACTCTCTGCCTGGTACAAGCCAAGAGGAGCCCTTGGAGGGGAGGTACTTGACTCCCAAAGGCCAGGGAGTCAAGAAAGCACAATGGGGATACACAGAATTCAGGATGGGACCTTGCAGTTACATAGACCTGTCTTCTAATTCTGGCTTTGMCACACCCAAGCTGTCTGACATTGGGCAAGTCACTTACTCTCTCTGAGCCTCAGTTTCCTCACTTATAAAATAGGGACAAATTACAATACCTGCCCCGTGAGTATGTTGTAACAGTTAGTGGACATAATTCATGTAAATCACTTAGTACGGGGCTTGGGATATATTAAGTACTCAATAAATACACACTGCTTGCCTTATCCCCCAAAAGGTTAAATAGGGAATCAGGCCCACAGGGCTGAGGCTGCCCTCGTGGAAACCCAGCATGGGGACATTGGTGTGGGTGGTGGTGGCCCTGCTGGTTCAGGGCCACCAATAGCACAAGGCCCAGACTACCCACCATAAGCGGGCCCTGAGACTGAGTGGCCCAAGCCCAGTGGCACAGCCCAACCTTTCCCAGCCTTGGGGACAAGTAGTGATAGGAATATTTGAAGTCCCCAAACCCTGAGCCCCCAGCCTAGGCTCGTTCCACAGCGGAACCCTCCCAGTCTCCCATAACCGTAGATCCTGACACGGGCCCCTGCTCAGCTCCTCTTTGCTCACTTGCTAAGCTGCTTGCATGATGTATACCTGCAGCAAAACACTGTGTCCCTTCTGCCAGGGTCACAAACAGAACTTTCTGAAACCTGGTAGGGCCAGGTGGCAATGGGGGTAACTGGTTTTCCAGAGTCAAGAGAGGGGAAGGCCCCAAGCTGGAAACAAGAGCCATGTAGCCATAAGCCAGGCGTCCATTTGGGGAGCTCCAAATTCATGTCACTGGCTTCAGAATGTGACAGGCAATCAGGGTTGACAGCATCTCTCACCATTGATGGGAAGGCGGGAAGGGACAGGACTGGTAAACATGGCCACATAGTGCGAGTAGCCCTGGACAAAGCCCCCTGGTCCAGGGCCTTACCTGCTGCACCCCCCACCCCTTTTTTTTAAACTGAGGTACAATATTGTTGGTACACTCCACCCTCAGTCTCTGTGTCCTCCATCCAACAAGGGTCCATGGCTGCCGGCCAGCTACTCAATGGTGCCATATGCACCCCACGCAAGGATTATAGAGGAAGATTTGGGGTACACAGGGAGACAGCCCAGGCTCATCCTAGTGCCCTGGTGGGGTTCAACTGGGGTGAGGGTGTCAGAGCCCTGGGCCCCAAAGGACCCAGGACCCCAGGCACAGCTGCATCCTGGGAGAACCTCGGGAGTATATGGAAAGAGTAGGGCCAGATTAGGATCCAGGAGAACATGCCCAGCCCCATTTCTGTCTTAAACAAGTGGTTTAAGTTATCTCCTTGGACCCAGTTATCTCATCTACAGGGAGTGAAGGCTGGAGGGGATTTCTACAGGGCAATTCCTAGTGCTGTGTCTCACCCAAAATACAGATGCCTCCGCTGTCCTCTGCTGCCAGCCTTCCTCCCACTGAGTCTCTCCCTCTCCAGTTGGGCTGGGGTGGAGTACAGGGGGAAAACACCATTTTGTGTGGGAAACAGTTCCATCTAAGTTCTGACAGGGTGACCTTTGGTGAATCCCAGCCCTCTCCGGGCAGCCTTTAGAGACCCAGGCAGACGGCAACACCAGGTTGGGTGGGGAGGGGCAACACGGTGGTGTCAGGGCAGCTGGTGGGCACCAGAGGAGGTGGGGGGGGGTCATGCCGACAGATCAGCCCCCAAGGGCAGGAACATGCAGCCAGGCCCCTTAGAAGGACCCACGTCAAGGTCACCAGAGCACTTACTGCGCAGGGGTCAAGGTGTCATAGCCCCTGACCCGGGAGAGGCCAAGGGGATCGCCAGGGCCCAGGTGAGCGGTCCAGGGGCTGGCGTTGGCTATTTTGAACTCAGCTTAATTTTCTCTACCTGGAAACCAACTCTGGCCAGTGGGGTAGCACTGTTCCCGGAATGTCTTCCTCCCCTAAGACCTGGCCCACTCGGGTTCCCGGGCCAGGCCTCTCCATTTCACAGGAGCTCTGGGTGCCCAGCTGGAGCCCAGGACACAGAAGGAGGGAAACCGGAGCTGGGCTCAGCACGCAGCTCCCTGCGCTGACCCTAGAGGCCCCAGCAGCGGCCCCTGCCCTGTCCTCGTCCTCCTTTCTCAGGGATCCTGTCTCTGGGTCCATTTAATGCTTCTATTATGTTTCCCAGACTCGGAGCCTCTGGCTCCCTATTGTCCCCGGCAGGCGTTTTGCATTTGTGTAAAGATTAGCCACGTTCGAGCTGCACCTCTCACTCCCTACGGTCTTCCTCCTCTACTTTCTCCAATCCCAGCTGTTCCTTTCTCCCCGTGCACATTTCCTGGTTCTGCGTTCCCCCTACCTGTCTTTATCAGCCTCCCTGTTTGTTTTCCTCCCTGCCCTGACCCCCTCCTTCTCCCCGCTGACCTGCTTTGGCTGCTTTCTTCTCTTCACGGCTCAGTAGTTTGCATTCTCTCCGCCCCCTCCCCCCCACCCCTGCCCAAGTCCCTGTTCATATTCTCCCCGAGGCAAATAGAAAGGACTGGGAGCATTGCTCCCTCATTCCAGAAATATTCTCCAAAATTCTTAAGACAGGCACAGTGTGGGGGAGGGCCCGTGAGCTCCCCTGCACAGGGAGTCACTTGTGGTTTGTTTGAGAGACCAACATCAGGGTCCCAATGCCAGCTCTGCCCCTGTGCCAGCTGTGTGGCAGAGGTGGCCCTGATCCTCTGAGAGCCTCCTGGTGGACAGTCATGGAGCTGACACCGGATGACAACAGCTGCCTCCTGGGGGACAGTGAGGAGCCCAGAGTGCTCCGAGCACATAGCAAGTGCTCAAGAAATGACGCTTCTGATTCACACTGTGCCTGGCCCCAGTCTGGGGGAAGGAAGACCACGGTAGATGGCATCGGCCTCCATTGATTCTGTCCAGCTTTAATAGGGTCTCACAGCAAAACTGCCAGTTCCTGTGGTCACCTCTTTTCTCCTTCATGTGTATCTAATGCAGGGACTAAGCAAAACTACGGGATGGCCAGGGTCCCACAGTTGAAAGCCAGGCCTGTCTTCACTCACCCCGCCTCCCTCAGAGAGCACTCACAGGGCTCCGACTGTGTGCAGGGCAAGCCATGGGCCCTGCCTTCCCTGGGTTTCTGGACCTCCATGAGTGCTGGGGATACAGGCTCAAGGTCCTGCGTCAGGCAGGCTCTGGACATTCCAAAGAGTGAGAAGGGCCTTTCCCGTTTGCCTGGAGACAGGGTCCCTAAGAAGACGTGTGGGAGGTGGACTTGGAGCCAGGCCTGGGCAGGCACAGGGTGACTGCCAATTCCCTGTGCTGCTTGGTTCCTCAAGGTGCTCAGCTTGGCACCTGCACACCCCTACTCTTGTCTCCAGTGAAGGTTCTGGGCCAGCAGAGAGATGGGGAGCAGAATGCCAATCCCCAGGGAGCCCCCTCCCTGCCTTGTCTCCCCCCCACACACACTTTTCCTTTGCATAAAGTAGTCCCCGGGGTGAGCTTAGCATCCAGTCATGTCCAAGAAGGGAGAGCACTCAGCCCGCTTGTGTGTGCGCCCACAGGGACATGGTCCTGGAAAGGACCCTGGGGTCACCTTCTTTGTCTCAAGGGAGACTCCAAGGCAAACAGGTCAAGAAAGCCCCTATTTTGCAAATAAGGAAACTGAGACACTGGAGGAGTAGCCGTGGCCACAGCTGCGCGGCTGAAGAGCTTCTGCAGGAGGCACTGAGGAATTGGGGGCGTAGGGGGCAGGGACACTTCCTGGGTGAGGTGGGGATGAGGCAGCCTCCAGCTGGTCAGAGGTCAGGGGTGAGCTGTGTCCTTCACTGAGGGGCTCTGACTCGCCCAAGGCCACTTGGCCTTGACTGGGCCTTTCACATCCCACACGGGAGAAGGGCATCCTCATCCTGGTTGGCAGTGGGCAGGCGGGAAAGATGCAGTGTCTCATCTGCTCACAGAACTGCCCCCCAACTCCGAGCTCAGGGCAAGGGCTGTGGAGGCCCACCGGAGAGTGGGGGAAGGAGTGTGGGGCACTTTGAGGGTGACTTGAGGAGGTCCAGTAGGACTGAAGGGGCCCTTGGGGGCTGCAGGAGAGCCTTAGGACTCCCAGAGGTGCTACGGGAGCAGAACCTTCCACCTCCCTCCCCCCACGCCACTGAGGCTAGGGCGGGCCAGGCACCCGGGGGAGGAGGCGCGTCCCTGGCTCTCAGCCCAAGGTGAGGCGGGGCTGGACAGCAGGGGCGGGGCGCTGTGCCTGGTATTATAAGAGGCAACCAGGGCACCAAGGCAATGAGCTACCAGCTCGGCTTAGCAGCAGGACTCTGGCAACAGACGTTCCCGCTCCGGTCCAGCCCAGCCTGTGCACTGTACCGCTGCTATGGCTTCTGTGCCCACCACCTGGTGCTCCGTTGCTCTAGCCCTGCTTGTGGCCCTGCACGAAGGTGAGCCTCCCTGGCCTCGCCTGCTGCTGCAGCCCCCGGCCTGCCTGTGGCGTCTCTCCCAGAGCTGCTGTGCCCTCAGGCCAATGGGGGGCATGCAGGCGGGAGCCGTGGTGGGGTGCTCTGCAGGTGCAGAGGCGCTGCAGGCATGGGGCAGCTGCTGGGGCTTCCCCGGGCTGGCCAGGAGCTCCCGAGCAGTCAGAGTGCCAACTTCCTCAATTGTGCAAGAGGAGGAGCCTGGCGGGTCCCCCTATCCCAGGCCGTGCCAGCGCCCTGACCACCTCTCCGCCTCTCTCTCCCTCCTGTGCGTTCAGGGAAGGGCCAGGCTGCTGCCACTCAGGAGCAGCCAGCGCTCTCGCCCCATGCCCAAGGCGCCCACCTGCGGTTCCGCCGCTGCTCCTGCAGCTCCTGGCTTGACAAGGAGTGCGTCTACTTCTGCCACCTGGACATCATCTGGGTGAACACTCCCGGGTGAGTATCCATGGAGATCCAGGTGGGGGCTACCAAGGGGCAGGGGGGCAGGGCAAGGATACCGGCATGCCGGGGGACATTTGACACAGTCTGGCTCTCCCCGGGGCCTCCTGATAGAGGCATTGGGCTAATGTCAGTACTGACCAGTTATTGTTTCATCTCCCATGTGGGAGTCTCCAGAGACAGGTAGAGGGCTGTCTCCCGTGAATATTCACAACGGCCTGGTAAGAAACTGTTGGCTCCATTTTCCAGATCAGAATAGTGAGAAGTTAGGTGACTTTCCCCAAGATCACACAGAAAGGAGTTGGTGATAGACCCCATCCCTACTCTGTGGATACCAGAGCATATATCTACTCAATCAAGTTGCCTCTGCAAAGAATACAATTAGTGATCCATGTTTTGATTGTGCCAGGCCCTATGCCAAGCACCGCATGTGCAGTTTCATCTCATGGATCCCCTGGCCGTCCCATGAGGCACTATTGTTGTCCCCAAATGACAGATGAGAAACCTGCCCTCTGTTCCCTGGCTGAGCCGCAGTGGGAGCCGGGTGCTGTCTGTTCTGCCTGCGCCCGCGCTGCCCCCAGGCCACTGCATACCTCAAGTTGAAGTTTCTGTGTGTGTTTGTGTGTGTGTGTGTGTGGTGTTTTTTTTTTTCTGCCCCAAATTGCATAAGGCAAGAGAGGCCCAGCACGTAAGTGTGTGTGGAGCTAATCCGCATCCAAACACTTGCTCAGGGCGGGAACCCTGCCAGGCCCTGCGCGCTGGGTCCACCTGGAGTCATTACAGCTAAAATTAGCTGTCACCCAAAGGTGCTGGTCCGACCAGACTTGGGGCCCCTGCCCTGCCCCGACCACCCCAGTCAGGCTGAATCTGCAGTCAGCCCCACCTGCACACACACACACACACACACACACACACACACACACACACACCTTGTTATAAGTTAAAGCTCTGAAGCGTATTTGTCACTCCTCCCAGCAAGTGGTGCTGGGTGGGAGCAGCTTAGCCCGAGCCTGCAGCCTGCATGTTTACGTCTATGAAATGGAGGCTCCTCCTTTCCTCCAGGACTAGCTGGAGCCTTTTTGCACAGGGGACCTGACTCCATTGGCTGGAGTTCCTGTCTGGGAAGGGAGAAGGGCTGGGAGGACTCCCCAGTTCCTGCCTTTAGGGGGGACCCTAGACTCCAGCCACTTCCTCCCTGTGCTGGGAGCCCTCACTGAGCCCAGCTGAGCCAGGGCCCAGATGCCCAGAGAAGGGACGGGTCTTGTCCAGGGCCACCCAGCACTTGTAGAGGAGCCTGTGACTTTAGTGGTGGGCCTTCTTGAGGTTAGGGGATGGTCACTTCTCATTGCCATTCTGGTGGCAAGATTGACCGTTCCAGTGTGCAGTGTGGACAGTCGCTGCTCACCAATGGCTGTGGTTGATCTAATCCTCTCTCTCTCCCTCTCTCTCCCTCTCTCTCTCTCTCTCTCTCTCCCTGCCCCACACCATTACCTTGTTGGCTGCCCGCCCACAGACAGACAGCTCCTTACGGCCTGGGAAACCCGCCAAGGCGCCGGCGCCGCTCCCTGCCAAGGCGCTGTGAGTGCTCCAGCACCAAGGACTCTGCCTGTACCACCTTCTGCCATCAGACACCTTGGTAGGTGGGCGCCGGGCCTGCAGAGGTAGGGATGGCTGCTGGTCTGGACCTGCCCTGGGAGCAGGATGTCCAGGAGGCCAGCAGAGGGGCTAGCAGGGGTCAAGCAAGTGGCCCTGGGTGCGTGAGCAGTGCCCCTTCCTGCAGGCACCAGTCTCCTCTGAGTGCAGCTCTGGGGGCTTCTGAGAACACTCAGGTCCTCACTCCTGTCTGGGCAGAAGGAATGCTCCCCAGTGACGGCTGAGGGAGCTCAGGCCCAAAGAGAGGACAGGACTTGTGTCGGGCCTACAAGGGATCAAGCTCCCCTGGGCCTTAGAGGCCAGCCTGAGTCCCGGGGCCTTCAGAGCTCCCTCAGAGGAAAAATAGCCTCTGGAGTTGAGAAGCCGAGACGCCATCCCAGTGTCACGGAGCTGCTGGGCTTGAAAGGGGGCTTCTCCAAGCTTCTGATTGTCCCCGGCCTCAGTTTTCTCATCTGTAAAAGGACCGGGAGATTTTGTTCCCTTACTTAGACCACGTGGGACAGCAGGAACTGGCCTTCAAAATCCCCAGCTCCGGTTCCCAGGATGGTTTACAAGAAAGTCCTCCTCTGAGGCTCCAGCTGGGGCGGAGTTTCCTCAAGCTGCCTCAGTTTCCCCTGAAGCTGCAGGTGGCCAGATTCTGGGAAGAGCAGCCTCCCAGCTACCTCTTTTTTGAGACCGAGAATCTGTTCCCGGTAGCTCGGTGTTCCTCAGTCCCCACCCTGCCTGGGAAAGGCAGGGTGCCAGGTGCACAGAGTGGAAATGGATCTGCTCCTGAGGGCGGGTGGGGCGGGGGCTGGGCTGGGCCTGCAGCCAGGTGGCTTTGGGGCCCTGGATAGCCCCTCACTGGGGCCTTATTGCTCTCTATTCAGGGCTGAAGCCGGGTCAGTCCTAAGCAGCCAGTCCCCTGCAGATGTGTTGCAGACTAGAAAGGCGTGGGCCAAAGAAGGAGAGCTCCTCCAGAGACTAAGGTAAGCACATCGCCCTGGTCCAACATGCCCTGGAGGCCTTTCCCATCTCCCTTCTCCACACGAGGCGTGAGTGTTCATTGTCCGTCCAAGAGAACAGAGACTCAGAGAGGGAAAGCCACTTGCCCAAAGTCACACAGTGGCATCTGGCTGACTCCAGAGTTTGCACGCTCAACCACTGTTTTTTGTTACCCCTGGGCCTTGATGTGCCGTGTTTTAGAGGGTTTAAGGGCTCATGACTAGGAAGGATCACAATTGTTCATTCAGGCTATCTCCATCAATCATCTCCCACAACCTGAGACTTGGAGGGGCCAACTGCCCGGCCTGCTGTCTCTTCCCTATAGAGTCTGCACCTCTTCCCCTCTGGCCTTACTGTGGCTCAGCTCCAGGCTTTGTGCAGAAGGTGCTTATGAGTATTTGCCCACCCGTCTGCCTTAAGAACAGAAACCTCACCCCTGCCCGTGCATCAGAGTGACCAGAGCCACTGCTAGAACAGGGACCCTCTGATTTGAACCCCAACCCTGCCACAAACACATTGTGACCTCAGGCTTGCCCCATCACTTCTCTGTGTTTCAGATCCTTAGTTTTGAAACTAGGGAAATGGCCATCCATTCCACAGGATTGTTGTGGGGCTGGGTGCATGAAGTTGAGCCCAGGGGAACTCTGCAGGTCTTCACCACTTCCCGTCTCTGCCACTTAGGGCTCCTGAGGGCTGAACAGTGCTGGGGTCCAGCATAGCCCCACAGGGATTCCCATCCTGTGGAGGGGAGAGGAAGAAAAATAAGAGAGAAGCCAGGATGGTGGGGTGGGCAAGAGCAGGCACTGACCCCCATGCTGTCTAAAGATGAAAAAAAAAATTAGAATAAGACTTTGCAAGTCCACAGCACTTCACAGTGTGCAGAGAGCTTGCTGTGCCCATGAAGCACCCATCCTCAGGGCAGTTCAGGCCTGTTTTCTATCTTATAGGCTGAGAAAGGGTCTCAGAAAGGTTGTGACCCTCACCCACATTCCCATACCTTGAGGCCAGCCTCCAACACCCAGGCTAAGACCCCCTGGGCCAAGAAGTGGATGCTTCAACATTGCCAGGGTCCTAGCCAGGGTCTCAGCCAGGTTCAAAGGGCGACTGAAGCCATATTTGTCTGGTCTGGACCATCTCAAACAGGACCCTGAAGAATGGGTAGAATCTGTGAAGTTTGGAAGAGGAAGATAGCAAGGTGTGGAAGAGGGAGGGCAGATGGTGGGAAATTCTAGGGATACTCCTGGCTGGCTGGTCATTCTGACAGCACTGAGCATCAACTTTATCAAGGACCCCCATCAGCAAAGAAGCTTCTAGGCCCTGTGTGACCTGTCTTCACGTGTAGGCCTTGCTTTCAGGCTTTGGTTACCCTCTGAGCCCAAGGCAGCCATCACCCAGGATCTGGGCAAGGGCTCTCATCCTCCATTGCCCCTGCTTCCTGAGACAGTCCATGTCCCCTGAGATGCTAAGTTGATCCTTCTTGATTTCCAGGGACATCTCTGCTGCCAAGATCCGCTCTGCCAGGCGTCAGCGGGAGGCAACAAGGGAGCCCAAGCCAGCCCACTCCAGGTGGAGGAAGAGATAGCACTGCAGGCTGGGAAATGTTGAGAAGAAAGCCCATGTGGACACGGGAGGAGAGGGCAGCTCATGGAGACCCTCCACCTGTTTCCTGGGCCAGGGCCTTGGCCCGGGCCAGCTGGACCCATTGGCTGGGGCTGGCAAAGGTGCTGGCTTCCCCACATGTGTGGGAGGCTTCCTCAGGACAGCCTGGTGCCCTCATGCCCTCATGCTGCACAGCCTCGGCCCCCAGATGGCAGGGCAGTCTGCTGGCGATGGCTGCTGGCCTCTAGGCCTGTTGAAAGTGACTGAGGGGGGCCGAGTGAACCTGGAGGTCGTGTCCCGAGGAACTTCCTGTTTGCTGGGCTACAATCCAGGAGGGACCTTGCAGTGTGGCAGGCTCACACCTAAAGGCAGTCATGGAGGCTGCGTGGGTCCCCCCAGGAGCTGGAATCCTGACCAGCCCCATCTGTCCTCTCTGGCTCCCCCTTCCCAGAGGCCAGGTCCCCCTCATGCCCTGGGGACACTGCTGGTGAGAGCCTGCTCTGCTTCATCCCTCTGTATATAACTTATTTACTCTAAGGACTTTGAGAATCCCAGTTATTTATTTTATTGTATTTTTTTAGATCCTCAATTATTTACCCGAGAACGTGTGTTTGTAATAAACCATGAAATGATATTCTGATATTTTGTTTTGGCTGAGCAGAGGTGGAAGGCTTCTCTTAGGAAGGGGCTACTTGGAAGTCAAGGGGACCCAGGAGCAGAGAAAGGGAGCACCAGGTCCCGGCCCTTCTCTGGCTGCTAGTCTGCCCTCTCGGATCTATCACGTACTGACACAGCCATTTGCCGCTGTGATCAGGATTCTGGGGCCTACATTCCCACCAGAACAGAAACCAATGGCCAGGACTTCCTCCAAGAGCATGTTTAGAAGATGCCAAGACTTTGAGGGGTATGGAGACCGGCTTCTGCTCCAGCTGCCCTGTCTTGCCAGGGTGACCACAAGGCCCAGAGCCAATCTGTCCTGTAAGGGATGGAGCCAGGTGGCTGTGCCCAGCCCTGGTGGTCAGTGACGGGCGCTGTGGTGGAACTGTAGCCTGGCCCTGGCTGTGCCCTTTGCCTTGGGCCTTGGCAGGGCCCTGCTGGAGTTTGATATTGTCTGACTGAAGAAGCCTCAGGCTCCAGCACTGGGCTCACCAGTCCTGCTACAGCCCAAGAAGCAGCCCACCTGGATCCCAGAGATGGCCTGCAGCCAGGGCCCTCCTGCTGGCAGCTGCTGGACCCATGGCCTCCATCTCTACAGACTCTCAAGCAAGCCATGCCCTTTTCCTGAGGCTCGCCTATACTGCGAGTGACAGCCTGTGACCTGAGCCTACTCTGGGGACAAATTAATGGACTAAGCAATAATTATTTTTATATTTCTCTAACACTGCCTTATCTAGAAAACGAATCCTGATCTCCTCGTGGAAGAATAACATGCTGATGCGTATTGAGCGACTACTACTTTATCCAGATTAACATGTTCTATCCTCACAACAATCCTGGGATGCAAGTACTTTCATTACTCTCCCTTTTACAGATGAGGAAAATGATATAAGAGAAGGCAAGGAACTTTCCTTGAGTCACACAGCAAGTAAATAAGGGGCATCAGGATGAGAACCCTGGTTTTCTGCATCAGAGTCTGTATTATACATGTGCATAATAAATATTTATTGATTGAATTCACGGATCACCAATGTGACCTTGAATGAAGCTCTTTCTGTGCCTGAGCTATTTTTTTTCTAACTTGGAAAATGGGAAGCAATAATAGTCCTCAACTCACAAGGCCTGTACGATCAAGGGAGAGGCAAACTGCGGGGCCAGGCTGAGTCCGGGGCCCGAGGAGCAGAGGCTGCTTGTCAGGCTGCCAATGTGATTATGTAACCTGTGGGACGGGGACTGAGCCAGAGGACCTGCAGAGAGGGAGAGACTGGGGCTGGCTAGAGTGGAGATGGGGGCAGGGGGCAGAGAAAGGATTCTGCACAAAGGGACACACCTGTCGCTTCAAAACCTGAGCAGGACTCATGGGGGAAGAAAATGGGGAGGGATTACAGGAAGGGGAAGAGGGACAGTGAGCAGGGACCTATCGGGGAGGTCCCTCTGCCAGGCCACAGGTGGCTGGATCAGGCCAGGGGAGAACAGCAAAGATGAAGCCACAGGAGCCTTGAAGTTCAAGTGAAGGAGCTGGATTTTCTCCCGTGGGCTGTGGGAGACACGAAATCAGGAGAACCGTTCAGAGCTGGGCTTTGGAAATTTGCCCTCAGAGGGCTGGTCAGGGCTGAGAGCGACGGAGGTGACAGGTGGCAGGAAAGCAAAGGCACCCACCCCTGCAGGTTGGCGATGCCTCCTGGCTGGAGAGGCCTGGTGGGAGGGGGCGGGCCCAGCCTCTTACTGCCGACTGCAGCCCAGGGTCAGAGCCCCTCTCACCTGGCCATGAGCCTGAGGCCAGGGAACCCTCACTTTCTAGCATCCCATCAAAACGATCCTGAAAGCACAGCTAGCGGCCAGAACTCGCCAGCTGTTTGGGGCTCAGCAGAGGCGTGGGGAGCCCTGGTTGAAGGTATGCTGGAGGCCTGGGGAGGCAGGAGCTCACTGCCCTTGGCACCAGCCCCAGGGCCCTGTTCAGGGTTCAGAGATCAGTGACCCAAAATGACGGAGCAGCGGAGATGATTAGAGGGAAGAGAGGAGGCAGGAGGCAGGGACAGCCCGTCAGATCCTTGGTCCCCGGAAGTGGGGCCTCTGGCTCGGGGTCTGTACTTCAGCATCTGTCTCGCCCCGCCTCCCTCCACAGGACAAGAACTTTGCAGAGCCAGGGATCACGCGTGCCAAAAGTCGGTGCCTGCTTCTAGATCACATACTAGCTTGCCGGGACCCCGACATGGGGAACAGTGGGTTACAGTCTGGGGGAAATGGAAAAATGTGAGAAGCAGCTGCCAGGTCAAAGGCCACTCTGGTAAGGGTGGAGTCTCCATTTTAGAAAGTTTGCCTTTTGTGGAACAAAAATCTCTCCCCTTTTAGCTGGGTGCAGTGTTTCAAGCCTAGAATCCCTCTACTCAGGAGCCCAAGGCAGGGGGACTGCAAGCGGGAGGCCAGACTGGACAACTTAGGGAGACCCTATCTCAAATCAAAAATAAAGAGCTGGGAGTGTCACTCGGTGGTAAAGCGCCCCCGGGGTTCAATCCCCAGTACTGGGGGAAAAAATTTCCCATCTCCCGCCTTTTCAGTAAATACCTAGCGAGTTTTTTTTTTTTTTTCCCCAAGGTTTTCTGAGTCAAAATCATGTTCCTTCAAATAGAGCCCCAGGCGGAGATAACAGAGAAGGGGCGCAGGATGACTCCGATTTATCCGGGTTACATGGCAGGAGAAGACGCCCATGCAGACCCAGAGAGGCTGAGGCCCGAGCCCCAGGCTGCCTCTGCCTCCCTTCCTCCGGAAAGAGCCCCAGAGAATTCTTCATCTCCCCTTCTCTCTCTCTCTCTCTCTCTCTCTCTCTCTCTCTTTCTCTTTTTCTTTCTCTGAAAATAGAGTCCAGGGTCAGTTCAGATAAGTCATTTGCTATCAAGGCAATAAATTCCTGGACCGTGGCCATCCATTCATTCATCAGAGATAAATAATTGCCTCTGGGGAGACTCTGTGAGCAAGACAGACACAGCCCCTGCATCACAGGCCCAGAGAAGGGCCATTCAAAAAAAAAAAAAAAAAACAAAACAAAAAACCACTGGTGGATATTAAGATTAAAAATAGGAGCTCCTGTTTATGGAGGGCTTAGCGTTGCTCTCCCGTATTAACCCCCGGTTCCTCATGCAACCTCATTCACAGAGCTCTGGCATTGGGAAGTCAGGGTGGGCACCCATAGTCCCAGCTGCTCGGAGGCTGAAGCAGGAGGATCCCTTGAGCTCAGGAGCTGGGACCCGCCCAGGCCATACAGACCCTTCCTCCAAACAAGCAAACAAAAAGGTGATTGAAAAGATAACCGAGACACAGAGAGGTTCTACCACTCGCTCAAAACCACGAAGCTAGTGTGTGGCTCAGTGGAGCTTTAGACTCCAGGTAAGTTCTCCCACCTCTCCAACAGGGGACCACGGCACTAAGATGGACTCCCTGGGGAAGGGGACTCCAAGTGGCTTTCTGGAGGAGGTGACATGTGAACCAAGCTTTGAGAGCCTCAGTTGAGTGAGGGGGGCCTGGGAAAGGTGGGAGAGTCAGGCAGGAACAGGTGGTACACTCCTGAGCACCACACCAAGCCCTGGGCACCCGCGTGGGGGCTGGCGCTCCAGGCAAGGGTCACCTCCAGTAACTGCCACCCCTCCACAGCCTTGGAATCAGTCTCCCAGGAGAGACCGGAATCGCCAGCCATCAGTGCTTCACACCTGTAGACGCCATGCTGCTGCCCTTGAGGTCTCCCAGGTGGGCAGGGAAGGCAGGCAGGAACAAATGAAAGGATGCAAGGGACAGGGGTGGAAAATGCCACGATTGTCCTTAAAGCTGGTGGCAAGGCAGCTGAAGGATGGGCAGGGCTACCACATGCTGGGAGGGGGACAGGGCATCACAGCTTGGGAAGTGGTGCCAGGCATGTGGGCCAGACCCTGGAAGAGTCCAGAGAGAGGCAGCCAGCCTGAGCAGCAGGGGCCAGGCTGGGAGCAGCCTCCGATGCCAGGACTTTGATCTTGAGTGATGGGGAGCTAGCGAAGGTTACCGAGCAGGGGGGACCAGGACCGAGTGCCTCCAGTGGCTGCCTTTCCATTGGCCCTTCCCTGGCCGTGCTTTCTGCTCGCACGGCCCCTCCTCTCCAGGGAGGGCAGATCGTGGGGCTCGCCTTGGCCTGCCAGGGATCCCAGCCAAGAGCCCTCAGCAGCTCAGAAGGGGGCCGTGTGCGGGCCCGCCAGGAGCCCTGGAAGAGGAATGCAGCCTAATTAATTCTCTGAGGCTCCCAGGGCCTCGCCTTGTGTGAGCAGCTGCCAGGACAGGCCTGCCAGGGCGCCACCGGGCCAG